TCTATTGTGCTTGCTGGTGCAGCAGATTCAGTAGATAGTGGGGAATATTTCAACCCTATTAGTATTTGAATGTTAAGCTACAGTGCTCTTAGATCTGTCTAAAAACACATTGAAAGGATATTGGAGGGCGGAGAGAAAAGAAAAAAGAAAACGAGACAGAGAAAAAGAATAAAAAGAGAAAAAAAATTTAAAAATTAAAAATATGTAATTACTGTTCTTTTTTTTTTTTTAAAAAAATCACAAAATACAAAACCGCGCGGCGCGCCGCGTGAAAAATCTAGTTCACAGTAGCCATGTGGAACCTTGTTCTCCCTTTGAAATGTTATTACTCACTAATTTATTCATTCTTAAGATCCGTTTTTACAGTTAAAAAAAATCTGGCTGTATTTGTATTCATTAATAATTTGTGATAATTAATTCATCTATTTTAAAGGAATCACCCAAATGATGAGAGCAGCAGCCCTTGTAGGATTAGTTCAAACGTGCTGGAGATAATCGATTTAAGCAAGTTCATTCTTCAGGTAAGTGCCTAATGGAAGGGAACGTCTGACTAGAATAAAGTCTGGAGTTTTGAAAACAGTTGAATAACTGAAAGATGGTGTGATTTTTGTTGGGTACCAATAGACCTAGCAAGATCTAGTGCAGCGTAATAGGTGAGATTAACTTGTAATATTCAGGTTAAAAATGGATGCTTTTCCTCTTTTCCATGAAAGCTCTGTCTTACACCACTTGTTCAAGTATGATTGCTTTCACATTTTGTGTGTTAATACTTTGGTGAAGTACATACCATTAAAGTGAATTAAATGATGGATGATTGCTACATAATCCAACACTGATTTCAGCTAGTCAGAATGTAGCAGTTTTGGCCCAGCTACAAGAAGAATCTGAGGCTCATGGTTTCTGTGACAACTCAAGGTCAGGTGACCTAGTATGTCCTGCCAAGCTGTTCCCGAGGAATAAATAGGCTGTTTGTAAACAGAATGGCTAAGCACTCTCTCACAAGACTTCAAGTTCACAAAGTATGAGGCAGCTGGGTAAAGGGTCAAAGGTGAAAGGTAATAAGGCATTTTGGGCCTGTTCTTTTGTGGAGCCTTTGGCTGCCTTTCAGGCTGAGGTCTTGGAAATAGTTCACACACAGGCCTTCTGCCAATGGACTACTGAGAGTTGGCTCAGGCAGGATTCTGTTACAAAATCCTCTCCCTCTTTTTCTTCCTCTCTGTGTCTTGCTGTCTAAAACTTATGAAAATGCAAGGAGTTTTATAAAAACTAAGTATATAAATGAAACAACCAAATAAATTAATGTTTTCTATAAAATAAGTTTAGAACAAATTTTCTTTTTAGGAGCAGAGGTTCAAACATTGAATTTAGGATGATAAATTCTTGCAAAATTGATTGCAAAGGATATTTGGAAAAGGAGTAAGCATATTAAAATAATGAAGAAGATTAAAATATTGGCAGGGCTAACAGGTGGCATGGATGTTCAGGCATTAGATCCCACATGTTTAACTGCATAGTTTGAGTCCAGGACTTGGTGGCTTGAAAAACATGCCAGGCACATGTGTGTGAGTGCCCAAAATCCTGAGAGGAGAATAGAAGAGAAAGGATTGTGGCATGGCCATCCCCCTTGGTGGGGCTGATTTCTCACTTTCACTTTGTCTCTCTCTGGGGAGTGCATGTGCCCTTTAGCAAAAACTTAAAAAAAAAAAACCAAAAAACTAGAAAAGAAATATTGGTAGAAGAATTTGGGTCAGTTGTAGTCTTTTTAAAATGGCAGTATATTCTATTCCACCTATGCCACCAGAGGCAGTCTTTAAACAGTCTCCTGAGATATTTTAATGAGCTAAACTACTAGTATGTGTTATGCTATTGAGTCTTAATATTTACTGTATATTATGAAGAAAAAAGTTGTAGCTCTTGTCCTTCTTTAGAATTACTGCTGTTATTCTTGTTTAGAGTAGAAATTTATTCCAGGAGTAGAAAAAAAAATCTATATGTTAGATTTCCCTTCTTGGACATTAATGTTCGACCTGAAAGTCCTTCTTCAGTTCCTTGGCTATTATGTGCGTTTACCTTACTTGTTTGCTTTTCCTCTCCTGTTTGAAAACTACTTTAGAGTGATAGCTTCTATCTTGGTTAATTTTGGTATATTTTCATTCCTAGATTTGTAATTCTTTATTTTATTTTAAAAAATTTTATTTATTTATTATTATTATTTTAAAAATCTGCTGTGCTGTAGGGCATGTGTGCCCCTGAGTGAGTGAGAGAGAGAGAGAAAGAGAGAGAAAGTGAGAAGGCAAGCTGCCAGGTTTAAGGCTTCAACCATGGTCAGCCATGTGGGAGTCCAGTACCTTAATCATCATGCCACCTGCTGGCCCCTGTAATCCTTTATTAATACAGATGTGGGATACTAGAAATTCTTTTTTTTTTTTTTTTTTTTTTTGGAGAGGTTTTTGCTATAGGGCGCGTGTGCTCACCAGACAGAGAGAGACAGAGAGACAGAAAGTGAGAAATCACCCCCCGGGGGGATGGCCATGCCACAATCTCTTCTCCTCCATTCTCCTCTCGGGATCTTGGGCATGCACGCACATGCGCCCAGCGTGAGTTTTAAGCCACCGGGTCCGGGACGCGAACCACAGTCGACTACATGGGAGTGCAGCGACTGCTGGTCCCACTAGAAATTCTTAAAGTAGAAAAAGATGAGTTGAAGGGCAATGAAAACATGTTAAAGAACCATTCCTGGGACTGCAGATGGAATAATGGTTACGTGTTAGACTCCCACATAGTCGACTGTGGTTTGAATACCAGACCTGGCAACTTACAACTCATGCTGGGTGTGTGTGTGTGCACGCATGCCCAAAATCCCAAGAGGAGAATGGAGGAGAAGGGATTACAGCATGGCCAATCCCCTTGGGGGGTGGTTTTTCACTTTCTGTCTCTCTGTCACTTTGGAGAGTGCATGCACCCTAGAGCAAAAATCTCTCTCTAAAAAAGAAAAAAAGAACCATTCCCAAACACAGAGTATAAGTCATTAGCCACTTTAACTGTAAAGACACTTCTTTCGGATGGTAACAATTACAATGAAATCATCCAGTTGAATGGAAAAATAATTAAAATATATTAGAAAATTTAGTTTACTTCCTGGCGGAAACAAAAGCATACAATTTGGATCATAACCAGTGAGACCCTGGCTTTCATTATTTTATCTGTGCTAATGAGCATACGCGTGGGAAGGATGGGACTTTCCAATGTGTTTCATGAAGTCTGACTTCTTTGTTCCTTGAAGAACAATCAAACCCATTTTGTCTTTCAAACAATTTTCTGAGAACATTTTCATTTACACGTTGTCTTGCGTTTATCCACTTTCTTCAGCAAACCCTAAAAGAACAAAACATTCCCTGAAGTCATTTACCATTATTTTCTGTTCTCTGAATTTATTTTTGCTTTTTTTGCCCTTTATCATAATAGAGTGGTAGAGTGTATAGGAGGGAGAGTGCGGAGCACTTTCCACAGGAACTGGTCCCACCACAGTCCCCTTCCTCTGGCTTCTCACACCTGGGTACCCACATGTGTACCCAGGGTGCTTCAGGCTGACTGGGTCAGGAAGCAAAACGGCTGCTGCTGTCTGGGATCTGGCTTCTCTTAGGCAGAATATTACTGCTGTGCCATAGAACCAGCTCCTTTAAAATTTTCCTTTTAATTTCTTAATATCATGAATACTGCTGTAGTATGAGGTGTTGCATATATTGGCAAAGATAATTTTCTTCCTTTTTTTTGATTTTTTTTGAATTATTTTATTTAACTTTATTTATTATTGTTATCATTATTATTTTCCAGTTTGATCAGAGGGAGACAGAGAAAGAGAGAGGAAGTGAGAAAGCAAGCCACCAGGTCTGAGACTTGAATCGTGGTCGGCCATGTGGGAGTCCAACGCCCCTATCCACCACGCCACCTGCTGGCCCCTGTTTTTGATTTTTGTAAAACAGAATAACAAGTTTCTTTTCTCTTATTTATTGACTTCTAACCAGACTGTGTTGGACAAATTAGAAAATGGTAAGTGTTAGGTGGACAGACAGTCGTGCAAAGCAATCTTACATCAGAAGGTTCATAAGCCAAGTCCAGAGAGTCCTGGGTACGTTGGACACACACTTGTCAGGGATTGGGGCCGGCTGAGAACCTGAGGTAGATCACAGCATTGAGACCGTGTTAGGTGGGCTTTCTTTCTCTGTCTCTCTTTTGCTCATGGAAGAAATAAATAAACTTAAAAGAGAATATTGCAACTTAAAAAGCTTCATTTAATTTTATTTGTTATTATTTTTAAAATTAGTTATGTAATTTGATTTATTATTATTATTATGTACTATTATTATTATTTTAAAATTTGCTATAGGGGACCAACAGGGAGAGAGAAGGAAAGTGAGAAAGCAAGCGGCTGGGTGTGGGAGTCAAACTGTGATCGTCCATGCGGAGTCTAGTGCCTTAACCACCATGCCACCTGCTGGCCCCTATTATTATTTTTTAATTTGATCAGAGAGATACAGAGAGAGAAAGGGAAAGTGAGAAAGAAAGGTTCCAGGTCTGGGACTTGAACTGTAGTATGCCACGTGGGAGTCCAGTGCCTTAACTACTCTGCCAGCTGCCGGACCTAGAACATAGCAACTTTACAAGTAACATATTTAAAAGTTTGAGCAGATCTTTATTTTCTCATGCAAAATTGGTGAAAAAATATCTTTTTCTTAAAAAAAGTTACACTTAAGAGAGGGCCTGATGGGGGTACAGCGGGAGTTCGATGCTCTGTGAGGCTGGTCCACAGGAAAGGGTTCTGGATTCACGTCTGGAACCTGCCCGGAGTCCTTGAGGCCTGCACAGGTCCATGATCTGGGGCCAACTGAAGTTGTGAGTACATTGCAACACGGAGACCTTATTGGGGTTTGTACGCTCTCTTCCTCTCTCTCGGTTTCTCTTGCTAGAGGAAAGAAAGAAAAAAAAAATTAAATTTAGAAAAAATAATCTTGAACAAGTTGCTGAACCTCTTCAAATCTGTTTTCTTATATAAAGTGACTTTTTAACAGTTTGTGGAAAATTGAATTAAAGGATGTATTTATTTTAGTGCAAATTTTTTTGAAATCCAAGCATGGTTTTTCTCATAACTTGCATTTCTATGAATTTTTGAAAACCTCACTTATATTAAATGAGGAATAGAACTCAAGGCTTTCAGGTTTTTCCTAGCTCCAAACTATTATATCATGTGTTTGACTGAATATTGTTTCTAAGACTACAGAACTCACTGCCTTGCTATCGATTTTGATGTTTCTGTATTCCACAGTGAACGACATGTGAGAGTGAGTACATTAGAACTTTGAAATATGAAATATCCCATGAATCCTTTTTTTTTAAAGAGGTTTTTGCCATAGGGCGTGTGTGCTCGCCAGAAAGACAGAGACAGAGAGCGAGAAATTACCCCCCACAGAGGGGGGATGGCCACACCACAATCCCTTCTCCTCCATTCTCC